GTCTCAAGTGAATCACTTCACAAAATATCGAATGTAAATAGAAGAAGTGTTTGACGACAATAACAAAATAAGGATGGAATATTTGAAAAGCCTGGAATTCTGAAACTAATTGCATTTGTTTCAGCCGTATGTGGCCATTAGTTTACGAAATATTCGATGTTCAGTGCTGACGAACCTTCGAACACTAATCGACGATTTACTGTAATGTCTCAAGAAATGCAAAGGACTGTCACAAATCAGAGTCTCACACCAAATAATAAGATTAACATAATTGCTCTCTGTCAGCCAACTTCCAAAGCTAAAGGTTTACACTTTCCAAGAAAACACATTTTCCAAGTCGTATCGCTTTTGTAGCAAGTGTGCTATGTCGAAGATCCGTAACAAATTGTAAAAATATACTTCTGTAGTTTTCATCGAAAGGATTGATTGCAGGACCTCTGTTGACCAGACATTTTTTTTACACCACTGTGTTCATTACTGTAAGTACCTAAAATGTTAGACCCATTTTATTTCGAACACCCTGTATAACACTGGTTGCCGCAGCGCGTGGCTTGGTCGAGACTGTTTGGCTCGCCAAAACTGTTTGACGGGCGCGAATTGGCCAGCCGTGAACACGTTCCGTCGGCTAGGCTCGTCGAGCCAGAGCATATATGGGTAGATTGAAGTGAATCATAGATGGTTCATGGGAGTATCAGGTTCCACAATTGCACACGCAAGCCGTGCCAAATAATTTTCCAAAAGCAAGTTCCCTACAAATCTACTGAGTTTTACAAAAAAAATCAGAATCTTCCGGGGACCGAAGTTCCCTTTGTTAAGCTGCGTCTACACTGTATAGCATAACATATTATTATAGCAAAGTTACAGAACTTGTTAGAAAAACCGAAAGAAAAATGTTATATAACATTTTTCGTGTCATATTACAAGTTATATGATATCCAAATGTGACGCCATTATTAAGTAACGAGATGCAAAATGTTATACAAACTTGTTACAGACTCTTCCATGAGGTATAATTTTCTAACAAATTATAATAATATCAATCTATGAAATTTTCCCGATTCAGTAGGATTTGGATATACATGGAACTGGGCAGAATTTTATTCGAATAATACACAGTGAAAAGCTGCAGTTTCTATGGGTGTCGTTCTGAGCTTTAAACAGTCAATGAGATTAAATTATAAAATTTATAATATTAAATGAGATTAATTATTAAATTAAGATTAATGTTCGACAAATGTCGATTCATTCATAAAGAAGTATTATTATATCATAAAAATTGAAATTTTCACGTTTAAACAATTTAAAATGACGAAATACATTTTCTAATCTTTTATTCCTTATTTGAAAGTTTTTATCTAGATAATGAATTTGCCCATCTCTGCATGGAACAGAGGTCCACGATAAAGGCGAGGAGAGCCGAATCAAATAATTTTACAAAAGGACTTTTTGTGCCCAAAGTCGGAACACCGATAACGGTATATACGACACAGAAATATGTCCGTTTCATCATGGACCGCCATCAGTATCAGGGTAACACGAGCACAGAGAAAGGTTAACGCCTGAAATCGGACACCGGTAATTAGGATAGCGCCGCTTTTATCGGTGCCGCGTCTGTCGGTTCCGCGAAACGGAAATTACATCCGTGTAGCCTGGCTCGTCGACGACCCGCTCGTCCTTGCCAGTCCCGCGAATTAGCGAGGATGTTTGCCCAGGGAGACGATACGTCTCGACCAGACGAAAAACGCGCGCACGCTGCCCAGGAGGCGTTTGGCCATACAGCAGCCGTCTCGAATACGAGTTCACTGACACTTCCGAGCACGCGCGATAGATCCCCGTCCTTTACTGTCCGCTTTCACGCGTGCACGCACGGGTCTTCCCTCTGCCCCATGTGCAGCCGTTAACTTCAATTAATTTTCATATGGCCAGTTTTCAAGTGTCCATATTTTTTCAAATTTATCTATAAAGAGGACAAACAGGACTATATCCTCATTTTTTCTCAAATTTTTCATTAGTGCCCCCCTATTATAAATCTTAATCTAGGCCTGAATACGGTTTCCGATATTTACAATGTCATTCAATGACGTATTATTAATCCAATGTTATTATCTTTTATTTTTTGGTTATCGAAAACGATACATGTTAAACGTGTATCGGGAATTTGGCATGAGTAACGATGGACATAACTCTAAACAAGCACATAAATTCTCACCGATTTATTGACTAGTGATTAATCGGGTCAATCTCAGCCCATTCACATGATTGGCCTGTTGCAATTTTATGCTCCTGGCTTGACAATATTTTTCAGCAACGTTCATAAAATATTCGGATGTCGAGAGAGCCCCGTAAATGTTGCACGGTGGACAATTTTATCGTCAATACGATAGAGTTCTCAGAAGGCCACTGTAAAACCGGTTTATAGCGAACCGGCATAGTGTATAAGCTCCATAAACGCGACGTTCTCAAGATACACACTCCGCGCAGCATTGGAAATTCAACGTGCAATTAAGAAAATCGCCTGTATCGTTTAGTTACATTTTATTCTTGTTCACATCGCTAACCGAAAGTGATATAAATTTAATTTTCGGAAGATGAATGCTTCATCGTAAAAAAATAAAAAAAATGACAGTTTCACTAACTAATTACATAATATTAATCGTGTAAGGAATTTAATTTTCGGGAAAAAATGTATCACCATGAAAGAATAAAAAAAATTAATTAAACAATACTGATCATACATTGTGTCAGTTACTGTATACGTTTTGTTAAAAGGATATGCAGGTTTGTTCACAAATATCAGTAACCGTTCCAGACTAAAGACAGAAGGTATAACCCCAATTTTCGTGAAATTCCAACATTGTGTCGAACTGCAGTGACCATACGTGCCATCCGGTACGTGAGATCATCGTTAACCTTAATGACCCACCTTTGATTGCCTGATTGCATCGCGTTAAATAACACCCTTCATCCGTATGGCTTCTGTTCGTTTATTTTTACCGTGAAATAAGAAACACATGTATAACTCCATGGGAAATAATCGAAAAAAAAATTTTGTTAAATTCTTGAATATTCAATTAAAACACGCGCATTAACGAAAATACACAAAAAAAAAATCACTTACTATATCCACGCTGCCGGAAATTTATCCGAGAGATTCCATCGCAAATATTTACCCATATTACCCAACTTTTATCGCGGGTTATCGAGCATTGTTATCGGTGCATATCGTTTATCAATCTCTTCTGTACGCATTGATCGTGATTGTCGCGGGGAAACAAAATTATACATTTTATACGGGGTGATTAACCTCGAAGTTACTTGACAAATTATTCCACTGCACGAAGAAAATTAATCAAATGGTGTCAAACACCAAGGTTCGCGGCACTTTTTATACTACCTGTTATAAATCAAATTTTTTAACACAAAAGTTATGGAGCTTCTTAACTCTTTCAGACCTAGTGGTCAGATTTATGTACCTGAAGTTTTTTACAATTTCACACAAAGGCTTAGGTACAATGTGTTGCAGACCCATATAATTCTTAGAAATTTGAATTTGTTCATGTTCTGAATGTTTTTAGCGGGTCTAGTGAATTCAGAATTGAACAAAAAAAAACCCTAAAAAAGTTTTTTGTAACAAAATATTCAGTCTACTGAGTTAAAATGTGTAATTAAATATATTTTTTTACTCTTAAAAGAAAATTCAGGTCTGAAATGTTAAGAAACTTTATAAAAAATTTATAAAAATTTTATAAAAGTTCAGCTTACATTCATCTTCAGAAATTCTTAAAGATGACCCAATTTAGGGACGCAGTGGGCAAGCTCTGAGGGACTAGTCCTTTCACATTGTAATAAGACGATACATTGTATGCAGAATACATTACATACATTACGTTTATATTCCTATGAAACCTGAGGAGGAGTTTTGTTACACAACCTTACCCAAAAGTGAAAAAATATCGATCACAAAATTAACACAATGAACTTCGTTATACTAAATGGCTAGAGTCAGTCTCTAACACAGTAATAGGGTTGATACAATTTAAAGTTTTCAAAACCACGCGAGTCACATCAGATTTCGCAACTGAACCGGAATCACTTAAAACCCTGCACATATATTGGGCCTAACCCAGACCATACCCAAAAACATTGATCAGTGCACAAAAAAATTTCCGTTGACCGACAGTTCACGAGCCAATCGATCAGGAACGTTTAACGTTTTCCACTTCTTAAATTACACTACATTTTCCATATCGACACTATCCAGCACAGTTGGGCAAATTCATCCCCCAAATAGTATTCTTTCTAAAACTACTTCGCCATTTTCTATTGATTAAACGTGGAAATTCTAAAATTTTTTATAACAAAATAACACTTCTTACAATCCTACAATCTCATTAACCGATAACCTCTTCAGGGATAAATTATTAAAACCAGAAAAGAATAACTTTCTTTGTCAACTGCATCTATTTAAAATACATTTATGAATATTAATGACCAGACTGCGAATTTTATGTATTTATAGCATACACTATCATCTTGAAATAAAAATAATAAAATTTTTCATAACACTTAATGAAAATTTCGTGTTATTTGAAACTTGATAAAAACTTTAATCCAACGAATAAGTTTCTTTTGAATTCCAATCTCAGCGAATTAGTCCATAAAAATCTCTATTTGCATAAACATCCGCAGTTTATTAATGATAATCACTTGGTAAGATATCCTTTCTTTTTCTCAGGGAACTTCCAAGCGAGTGTCTATTCACAATAATATTCATCGTATCTTTGTAAGCACGCTTCAATAAAAGAAATATATAGACATACATCTTAGTATTCCTCAAGAGGTTAAAAGTCAGGATACGACACTATTCAACACTATTCAAATATAACTCTGCCCAACGGAATCCTACTGTTTCACATTGTATCACATCGATCTTCCAAGAGACTAAAATAACGCACAGCACAGACACGGTTTCTTAGGTCAAACGAAGTTAGGTTCCCTACCTCATGCACAACGCGAGCCACCGTACTTTCAGCTCTCCATCATCGTCCTCGAGATTCTTCTTGTCCCGTAGGAGACGTGTTCTGTAGACACAAGAGACGCGAGCACGCGATCGTCCGGCCAGCCAGACGGAATAATGTCACACGAGACACCTGAAAGTGTACCGATGCTCGACAAGGTTAGGAGAGTACGCGCGCAGTACAAGGAACGCCACGAACTCTAAACAGTGTACGACGCCTCGGCGTCCCCTTCCCCTTCCGTCCGCCATCGACGCTGTGGGGACTTGTTTGTAGGTGTGTGTAAGTATGTGGTTTTGCGCGCCAAATTTGAATGATAGCTTTGTCGATAGACTTAACCTGCATATATTCATTGTTCATATAATTTATTACAACAATCTGTTACTGTCAATATGAATGTTTTATTACGAAGTTACTCTGATCCGAAGAAAAAAGTTATATTTCAGGTAGCTCTTTCATTCAGGGGGAGTAGTTGTAGGGACTTGTTTGTAGTTTTGCGCGCCAAATTTGAATGTTGAAGTTTGATAATAATTTATTGATTAATTTAGACGTTCAGTTTTTATGTTTAATTATCGTTGCTAAGTTTTGTAAATAATTTTTATTAATAAATTTGTTATCCTTGAGTTTAGACGTGTATACATTTATTTATAAACCGTTGATACCATGCAACGCCATAGCGGCACGGGCCTCGACTAATCGCGCGCCGCCACTTCGGCCGCCGACCAATGCCGCGGCGCGAGTGCTGCCAATCGTTCCTCGTGAAATGTTCCAACATGAACGCCGGAAGTTCTTGGATCCCGTCGCTGGGTGTCGACGACAACGAAGCTGATATGTTTATGGGAATATCTACGTAGGGTGACGAAAAAGAAAACCTTTTATAACTTTTGCCTGGTTTGTAAATGTTTATGAAGGTTCATCGAATGTACCGGGTGGAAATTTTTCTTTGTTCAATTTGGTAGATTGATTATGGTTTGGATGAAGGGCGAGAGTATTGAATTTAGAGGCTGGAAGATTGTAAAGAATTTTTGAGAATATAAACGGACATGTCTATTTAGGTTGATTCAGAGCACTTAGCTCGTTAGATCGATTAAGGTGGACATCGTGATGTCGACTGGAGTTTCTTGTTCCGCGAACGAAAGCACGAGATGTGAGAGTGACCTTCTTCCTGATACTGGGTCGCCGACGAGTTTCTTGTTTGAAGACGATGCATTTCGTTGATTTCGCCTTTTCCGGAGATTTCCTTTTTAATGGAAATTATACGAAAATTCGTGGGATAGTTTGATTTAAGTCAAGAGAGAATGGTATAAATGACAGAAAATTTATAGAATTTAAAAAATTTTATGTCAAATTATTATGTCATTCGTGAATATTTACAATAGAGGAATAATATTTGACGAAAGTAGAAGATAAATGGAAGTGGCCTCAAGTGACACTAAAAAGTATGAATAAGAAGTCCATTTTAATGGGCAGTTCTACTTACTAAAAAGTAACGTTTTGATAAATAATGTTACTTTTTATGTTGCGATGATTTACTTTAAGTGTTTGCAAACGATTTTGTTTAGGACAAATGTTAGTCACCGTGCTATTTTGTTGGTAATTACAAACATATCAATTTAATTTCTTGTACTAATGACCAAAACAGCGATTTTGAAAAATTAAATTCCTTAGAAGTTATTTCCAAGTCCGTACCAATATCAGCTATCCCTTCCTTTACTTTATCGAGTTAAACCATTCGATTTGATTTATTATTTAATTATTATACACATTCACAATTAATCGTTAAACATCTAAACACCGAACAAATTATCAAAGGGCTACACAAAGTGTCCTCCTCATCACTTTGCCAACATGTATTTTCCTCGAAGCTTATCATTAGCCCGCGTATGTTTATTCATTTACAGCATTCCCTTGAAAAATCTAGGAAAATAATACAAAAAACGTTATATTAAGTAGTACTCACATATGTATTCTAACTAACCCATTAAAACCCCAAGTACAGGAATTAAAATTCCGTTAAATATTTTCTTCAAAAATTCTAAATTTGCATAAACATCGGCAATCTACTAATCGGGCGGCCTAAATGATGTTTCTAGAAAACCCAAAAGCCGATCCTCATGTATTCTCAAAAAGACAAGAGATTAATAGTGATATTAATGAAGTACATAATGGTTAAAAAAAAGGTACTGAACACTCTCAAAAGTATAGAAGAAATGTTAGACACTTCAGAATAGAGTCAGAAGTGGAAGGGAAAGAAAATGAATAAACAAACAAATATAAGAAAATAAATAGCAATCTGATAAATAAAGCAAAGGAAAAGACAGACGAGGAATTAATTCAAGAACTGATCGACATAATAATGGAAAAAGGAATTGGGGAGGAATTTAAGAATAAAATGAATGAAAGAGAAGAAAGAGTCAAAAACAAGGCTCAGTCAAATCCAGAAGTTGAAAGGAATGCAATGTACAAAATACCAACTACGATACATGCCCTAGACAAAAGTATCAACCGAATTCGTTAACAAACCCCCTGTAGAGGTGATGAAGTATTTTAAAAAAAAAACCATCTGTACATATATCGCTAAACAAGAGAGAGCACAAGGTGCAAAGAAGCGCCTTCACGCCTAATCTAGTGACATTTCGCCGCGACGCGAATCGTGTTGGCAGCGCTGATGTCTCGCGGGGCACGGCTCGGCGAGCATCGGCCGCTCAGTCAAGAAACTCGACTGCACCGAATCACTACGGAACCGAGGTGTAAAATCCGGTAACGAGCCCAAGGAGGCGCGGGTGCTCTCTGCTGCTTATCCTCTCCCGGCCACAGCGCAAACGGCCTTATCCGTCTCTGCGCTGAACGTGTTATTATTTTTTCTCGGGTGTCTATAGGTCTTAAGTAAGCTGATTTTTCCACGGTAATCGTCACACACCTAGGGCCGATAGAAAGCGTCTGGACTACCTCGGACGTTCTCGAACCAAGAGATATCCAGAAGTCTTCCGTGTTTCCCCAAAAAACGGGCTTGGTGGTGACAAGTGATATATTATGAGTGTTCTGTGCACCTCGTCGTCATCGTGCCGCCCGTTGCCCGGAGCCTACGTGACTGTGACCGTGACTACTACCGCCGTGCCGCCGCCGTCGCCACAAGCGTGATGTGCTGCTTCGTGTGCTCGGCCGTCGAGGAGATGCAGTGAGTATATGTACCGCCTGGAATAATCCTAAATATATTCTTTCTTGTCACCTGGGCTGTGTATCTATTTCCATGCCCGTGAAAATATTCTCTAGGGCCGAATTACCTAGTGTCCCTCTTGGTATAGTACCCCTTGTTTATGTGCCGCAGATGGTAACACGAAGGTCGTAGCCGGAAATAGGTCGAAATCCAGACTTCCTATCACGATTTTCACTATCGTGGCCCCTTCTTTGCTCCCCCCTTTACCTACTTCTCTATGCAACCGCAAACTCTTTTGTCCCGTCGGCCCTATATACCTTCCCTTGTCTTTGCTTCGGGTGTAAATATTTTCGACGACTACTCGAGGATCGTGTTCCTCGAGGTATCGATATTTTGTGGGAATTGTGGCAATCTAGAACGATCTATGGATGAAAAGAAATTCATAACGAGGACGTTGCCTTTACTGATAAAACGGCAGAGTTGCAGATGTAGATTATTTTTCCCTTAGTTCCGTAGCCTCTAACACACGGTATCCTCGTGTGTGCTCGCTGAGTATGGCTGTCCTCTGTATTTTTCTTTTCCCCTTTTTTCACGTGATAAGCCGTGGAGTCCAGTTTTTTTCTCTCCCTCCAAGTTAGAGTCCGTTTCGCTGGCTCCGCTGCGCAATAAAGGCGGCGGGTTTCAATGCTAATATGGAGGAGGCTCTTTCCCGACGGGAACGTTCGGTGTCCCGAACGAAAAGGGTTTCCGATCGGGACACTACGAGGTGCCGTTACGAGACGCGTTTCCGGCCACACCGTTTGTGTGTGTCTCTCGTGGACTGGCCTCGAAGCCATAGATTTCACTCGGTCGGGCGTGTTTCCAATGAGGCGACGGTTGTACACACACTTCTTTCGAACCGTGGATGGTCGAGAACTCGGGTAATTCGAACACGTTTTGCCCCCCACGCGCGTCAGAGTCTCGCTTTCGACATCCGATAAGCCCCCCCGAAAGAAGCCTAGGCCCAGCGTGGAGACGGAGGGTCCCACAGTCGACCGATTATAAGAAATTCTCGGACATTTGAACAATGTTTTTTTTTTTCTTGAAATCAGTCAAAATTCTACATGAAAGTAATACTAGAAGAGTCAGTCTATCAGAAACTATCGTCGTTTATACTTTTTTCGTCACTTTAAATAGAAAAAATAGTATTAGAAGTAGACATTCGCATGATAATGTAATTGACGACTGTCGAAGAGACGCATTTCGAGTGAACATTTTACAATAATATGTATAATAAATCCTATAACTGATAACATATATTAAAGAGCATAAAATGATGAATTAATAGTGACATTTTTTTCTACAATTATGTGAATATTTATTAAGTTTCAATCATTTTTATAAAGTCTTCAAAACTGTGTTAGATGTATTACTTTACATCGAGTTAAAGTCACAAAATATCCCAACTTCCTGGGAAATGGGACACTCTGTATATGACATTTCTTGGATATGTTTCGTTTCTGTACCAAACGGAACTTATTTATATCCATAGCTCACTAGATAACGTATAGACAATGACCCGTTTCTGCAGTAAACTGTGTATTCCAGCATGCAAAAGTGGGTACACCCTGCCAAAAAATGAATTCCTTAGAAAAATGGAGATATCTCCTCTCTGTCCGTTAGTGATTCCGTACATCGATGGGGTTCGTCGTCGCGGAACCAAAGATGGGAAAATTCATTATCCAGATAAAAAGTTTCGAATAACAAATAATAATAAAAAAAAGTACTTAGTCATTTATAATTATTTAAACGTGGAAATTCCAATTTTTAACCCCTTTAGACTTGGTGGTCACATTTGTGTACATAAAGTTTCCTACAATTTCACACAGTCTCATTACATCATCTCATTACTATGAACATTTTTTTTTTTTTAAACAAAATATCTAAACAGTATGGACGTTTT